TCTCCTGCTAGTCTCTTGCTGGTCTCCTGCAGTTTGTTCAATTGGCTTTTAGTAGCAGTTTCGTAGCATATACATCCGTAATCTAGTTTGCTTCTAATTAGAGCTTTATATAATCGTAGAAGAATAGTTGTGTCTGCGCCCCATTTGTGATTGAAAAGAACTTTTAGAAGATTTATTTTCTGTTGGCATGATTTAATTAGTTCATCTATGTGCGATGTCCATTTGAGTTGAGAGTCGAATGTCATTTCCAAAAATTTGATTTCGTTGATTGTTACAAGAATATTTCCGTTTAGTTTTAAATTTAAGTGGTGTTGTGTTTTCCTTTTGTCAAATATTATTACTTTAGTTTTTTCGGTTAAAAATCTCAAGCCTATATCTGAAGACCACCCTTCTAATTTATTTTCTTCTAATTTGCTTATATTTGCTTCTAATTTATTTAGTGTGTTTTGTAATATTGACGCAGCTGATTTTAGGTTTTTACTTCTCATATATATTACAAGATCATCGGCGTAAAGGTTTGCTTTTACTGGAAGCATAAAATGGTTAGATACGTTGTTGATTGCTATTAAAAACAGCAGGGGGCTTAATACAGATCCTTGAGCGATACTATTTTCCAGTGATTTCTTATTTGACATGACTGTTTTAACTTTTATACTTCTGTTCTCCAGGAAGTTTTTGGTAAAGACTAAGAATTTGCCATCTATTTTCCAACTTTTCATAGTTTTTAAGATGTGATATGTCCACGTGGTGTCAAATGCTTTTGTGATGTCAAAGAAAATAGCTATTAATTTTTGTTTATGTATTATGTATAGCTTCGTGTATTTTAGATTCTACTGCTATAATATTATCTACTGTAGACCGTTCTGATCGGTACCCACTTTGGATGGATGTAAGGAGATTTTTCTTTTCTAAGTACCATTTTAATCTTTTGCTTAAAATCTTTTTCATTATTTTGCAGATGCTACAGGTAAGAGATATTGGTCGATACGAAGAAGATAAGGTTTTTGGTTTATTGTCTTTTAAAAATGGTATTATAATTGCTTCGCGCCAGAGAGATGAAAATTTATGAGTCGAATAAATTTTGTTGAAGATCTCTACTAAAGTAACCTTCGCGCTAATAGGTAGTTTTTTGATGAAAATTGGTGATATGTCATTAGGACCAGGTGAGGTATTTTTAAGGTTCTTAAGACTTTCATTTAATTCATCAAGTGTTATGAAAGTGTTTAGTCGACTAGCAGTATCTTCTATGTTGATTTTTGATATTTCTGTTCTTTCTTTAGGTTCTAAGAAATTCGGGTGGTATTGTTGATCGCTTGAATACAACTGATATTGTTCTACTAAAATTTCTGAGATTTCATGTTTGTCTGAAGTTGTTAGATCATTTGTAGTTATTGTGTCAATATGGTTAAATGTTTTTGAACCTTTTATTTTCCTTATTTTTTGCCATATATTCCTTATCGGCGTAGACGAGTCAATTGACGACACGTAATTGGCCCAGCTCTCTTTTTTTGCTTTCTTTATTAAAAATCTAGATCTGACCCTTAAAGATCTAAAATTGTTTAAGTGATTAGGTGAGTTAGACTTCTTGTATATATTAAAAGCATGTTTTGTTTGCTTTAAAGCGGATGCGATTTCAGTGTTCCACCAAGGAAGAGGAGCTTTTGTGATATTTTTTGTTTTTCCTATAGAATCTCTGGCTGCGTCTCAAATTATACCGTTGAAAGATGATAAAGTAGTGTCTATTTTATCTGTTATAACGAGATTTGGTATAGGTGTGCTTACTAAGTTCGAATATTTTTCCCAATCAGCTGACTTTAATTTCCACGTTTCATATGGTGTTGTACTGGTTTTTTCATCTTTGTCATGAGTAATTATTATTGGAAAATGATCACTGTCGTATAGGTGGTCCAATGTATTCCACTGTAAGAATGGAGCTAAAGTTGAATCACTGATAGAGAAGTCTATGGAGGAAAATGTGCCATTATGTGCATTGAATCTAGTAGGTGTTCCTGTGTTTAGCAAAACTAGTTTTATGTTATTAATTGCTTCTAATAATATTCGTCCATTTTTATCTGTTTTTTTTTGATCCCCATGCGATATTGTGACAGTTTGTGTCACCCAAAATTAATTTTGGAGATGGAATTTGTTTAATTACATTTTGAAGTTCTAATAGAGTAGTTTCGTCAGGATGTGGTAAATATACGTTGCATATATTGATTTTAAAATGATGTTATACCGAATCTGCTACTGCTTCCAGATTCGTATTAAACGGAATTTCTTTGGATTGGATAGTAGAATGTACAAAAATTCCGACTCCACCACTGGATATTTGCTGTACTGCTCGATGTTTTGTATAGGCCGTATAATTTTTTAGTCTTGCTTGATTGTTGGAAAGACGAGTTTCTTGTAGACATATTATTAGTGGTGACAGTGCATTGATTAGCATTTTAATGTTTTCAATATGGCTATAATAGCCATTCAAGTTCCATTGAAGAATGAATTTAATTGGACTATTGAGATAAATCGTAGTCGCTTTCTTCAGTGAGGGAAGATTCATATGTTGGATTTATTTTCTTTATAATTCTTGTGATATTATTTTTCATGCGTCTAACATTTAATTTTAAGTGAACCATTTTTAATAAGGTGTATAAGCCGTCAAAATCTTCTGTATAGTTTTTAGCTGTGACTTCAGGAAATTTTGATCCCATTGCGTTTATAACGAAGTCGCATAATTCAGAGAAATTTATCGTGTATGAAGGAGATGCTGTCATTAAAATGTTTTCAATTGGTTTTAATGTGGCTTCGACATCTAAAGCCTTTTTCTTCTTTTTTGGTGCGGATTTTTTTATGAGTTATAAAAGTTTCGTTTAGGTTTTTAGTTTCCGAGATTTCAGGAGAGGTTGAAATTTGCCTTTTTGCTTGATTGGATGTTTTAGTATTATTGCTGTTAGCTGTAGATAAAGGTATATTGTGTACTATAAGCGAATCGTTTGTCGTTGGGATATCTGCAGAAATAGGGTTGGAACAGTTAGTTGTATCATCTGAATTTTTTTTGCTGAATTATTCTGATTTACTTCCATGGGTTCGTGTTCTGAGGTGTATGTTTGTATCACTTGAGATGGATCTTTAAGTGTTTCTGTACCAGTTGATGTAGATGTGCAGTTTTCATCTTTGTGGCCAGTAGTATTACATCTAGAGCAATTTAAACCATCTAGGGATAGGAAGATTCTGTAAGGATTGTTGTCATAGATTATTAAGATTGTATTTGGAATTGGTTTGGTGATTATCGGAGAGAAAAATATTTGCCGCCTAAAGCTTAAGACATGACTATACTCAGACTCAGGCATGCCAACTTTTAAAAACGTTAATTTGGATACTGCAGTTAGTTCTAGTTGTTTCAGTTTGTCTTCTAGAATACTGTACGGGATACTGGGGCAGATGTTTGATATTACTAGTCTCCTTGCTGGCGTAATAATTCTTTGAATTTCTATCTCATTGCCTTGGATGACTACAGTTTTATGGTTGTTTAGTAAGGTATCTACTATGCTAGAATTGTTCAAGTAAATGCAAACTGGGTTGTTCGCTATTCGTAATGCAAAAATAACATTTTTTGGTCTGAGTAGAGATCCTATGGCTACTATGTATTCATGTATTTTAATACCTTGGATAGCTGATAGAATAATGGCTTGTTCTTTTGAAGGAAAATTGAAGTTGCTTATTGCATTGGAATATGTCGATGTTGATGATGTAGTAAGTATGCTAATATTTTCAGAATCATCCATTTTTAATTTTTGTTTTCTTCATTTGATATAATTTTCGAAAGCCGGTCCTGTATCGGCAAATTATTTCGACTTATCGAAGGTGCCAAAAAACCAGAAACTGGATTAGTAATTGATGTGTTGTATTGAATTATGGAATATGTATAATTTTTACTAATATTGAATTTGTAGTAAATTGGTAATGTACTCACAGTTTGTTTTTTGTGTGAAAAAACTTTGTTGTTTAAATACACTATTTAGCTAACAATATTTTACGTTTCTTGATTATAAACCGCTGAAAAGTTAGTTTTAGCACAGCATAGGAATATGCTGTGGTTTTAGTAAGAGCAGATTTTAATCGGCACTTTATCAACTAAGCGCAGGGTTGGACCTCCTTAAGTAAGTTTGTTTTCGTTGACTCGTTATTTTTATGAGTCATTTCATTTTAATGTTTGTGACCAATTTAAGCCGAATTTAATTCAATCAAATTATTTCATCATGTATTGTTAAATTCTTCATAATGTTCTCTCATAATTATTATTACATAAGCACCATTTACATAGGATTGGTACAGCCTAGAGTTCTTTTTATTTATATTGTTCTTTTTATTTATATCTTGTACTTTATAGGGGTATAATGCCTTAATGAGTCGCTAGACGAGAAATCCGTGATCCGTATATTTACTGATCGTATTTTCTTCGATTAATTATTCATTAACTTTGTATTATTAACCCCCTCTGTGGCTCAGTGGTAAGAGCGCCTGCCTTTAAATCTAAAGGTCGTGAGTTCGAATCCCACCTGGGTGGAAATTTTCGTTTATTAAAAAAAAATTAATAAATGAAAATAATTTCTATCCTTGTGTGATCGGTACACACCGGAGGGACCGCAGACGTTCGGATACAATTAGCGTCTCTTAGCAAAGACAATGACGTCGACTTTGCTAAGTATCAAGACAATTACTCTACACACACAAACACACACACACTACATTAATAAACTTATCTTGATTGAGACTGGCTAAATGACAATTGTCCAAGCCAAAACACACACAAAAAAAAACTTTGTATTACGGATAGAATTGTGTATTTGTTTGATTTAAGAATGTATTGCAACTGGTTGAAAGACATCTATGCCAGTGACAGTGTCTATGCCACTAAAAAAAATCTTTTACTATTGTATTTTAAAATTAACGAAATGTTCAACTTCGAAATAATATAAAATATATTTTATTTTTTATTACAGGTTCAAGCTCTATATATGATGTTTGTTATATAAACGCTGATAAACAATTAAATAACACTTTACAAGCTGTGCCAGAATTTACAACACCCGATGAATTTAAAGATATCAAAGAACTTATAAATCGAATTAAAATAATTGCATCAAAAATACAATCCAGTAATGTTCAACGACAAATAAAAAATATTGCAGGTGAATTAGAAGAATATCGTAAAACAGCTGATCTCCTGAAAGAAAATCTTGATGAGCTCCAAAGTATAAAAAATATTTTTGATACTTTTGATAATTATAAAGAATTTAACAAAAAGACGCAAATTCTTTGTTCCTCTGCTAAAATATATTATGATAAATTAAAGTAAGTATATAACCGATGAGCTGTTGTTTCTCTTTTACTGAATAAAGAAACTTTTTATAACAAGTACAAATATAAATGATAGATTTTTAAAACCATGTTTTATATTATTATTTAAAATAAGTAAAGTATTTATAATTATAAAAAAGTAATTGACCTGAAAGATAATTTCTGTAAGATTTCTGAAAGATATGTCTGTTTTGATACTCTTTGAGTCTCTAAGCATAGCTTGAACTTTCGTTAGTGATATCTTCCTTTGCGGTTTTGATCTTGACGTCTAGTACTATAGTGAGTATTAAGTGGTGTTAGTGTAGCCTCTAGCATATCGATATCAGACTTTGATAAAGATCTCCACATTTCGATACCATAAGTCCAGACGAATTTCAGGACAGTTTTATAATATATAACAAGCGAGTCTTCTACAGCTAGCGCCGCTTCTCGCATCCTAATTTCCAGCGTTTTCTGTCGAAACAATCTTCAGTTGTTAAATCTCTGGCGGTCATTGCATCGTCGACATCGTCTCTCCAGGATCGTCTTGGTCTACCTCGTTTTCTTCTAGTTGGCGGAGTCCATTGATCTATTTTTATTTTGGCCATCTATTTTCAGGCATTCTCTGAAGGTGTTCATACCAGTTAAGTCTTTTGGCTTCGATTGTGTCTATTATGTCTAGATCGATTTCCATTTCTCTCCGAATATCTTCGTTTCTCGCCCTATCAAGTCCAGTGAGCTGGCAACATCGTCTCCAGTAGTTCATTTCTATCGCCTTAATTTTTGATTGGTTTCTTTGGTTTATTTCCCAGAGTTCGGCGCCGTACAGCCCAATGCTTTATATTAATGTTTATAAATTCTTCTTTTATTTTCTTTTGTTATTTTTTTATTCCATAATGGCCCGTGTAGCTGTCTGGTGGCTGATCTTACTTGGCCAATCTTGGAATGTATTTCTTCGCTACTTCCTGCTTTTGATGTTATTTGTACTCCCAAGTATTTAAAATTGTCTGTTGGTTTTATAATTCCCATTTCAATTTGTAGGCTTTCTGGTTTTTCTCCTACAACTAAGTACTCAGTTTTTGTATATTAATTGTGAGGCCCCATTTGGTGTACTCATCTTCCAGTTTTCTAAGCATGTAGCCTACATCACTCTCGTCTTTAGCTAGAATGGCTTGGTCGTCAGCGAAGTGTATCGTGTACAATCTATCATCTCCGATTGGGATGCCCATATTGCAGCACTTTCTTCTCCACAGTGAGAGTGCCTCATTTAGATATATTTTGAAGAGCGTAAGTGCTATGCAAAAACCTTGCTGTAGGCCCTTACTAATAGGAATTTCTCTAGTTAGTCTATTTCCAGTTTTAATATTTGCCGTCATATTTTTGTAGAGCTGTTGTACTGCTTGTATATTTTTTTTGCTTATTTCTTGTTTTTTCCATTGCTACTCAAAGCATTGAAAGTGGTACACTATCGTATGCCTTTGTCAGATCTATAAAGACTATATGAGTTGAAAGGTTGTGGGCTAATCTTTTCTCGATAACTTGCTTTATAGAGAATATACTGTCCATACAGGATCTGCCTGCACGAAAGCCATTCTGTTCTTCTACATCTGTCATCTCTTTTCAATTTTATTTTTTATTATTTTTACAGTTTTATATATTAATATTTAACTTCTATTAATATTCTAGATTTGCAATCTGCTATCCAATACAGGTGACCTAAGAGGATGTATTAATATCTAGTTAACCTAGACAGGTTCATTAAACATTAGACATCATGTAAACTGAAATTGTTAAAATAGAAAAATTTGAATATCGAGCCATCATGAAGTACCTGTATTTGGAGAGTTTAAGAGGAATCAGATTTATACAGGTTCTAAAACTCTTTTCTTGTAGCATGTCTAAGTTAAATAATATGTTAATATGGGATTAAATCATAATCAATTCTTATAATTGTTTATTTAAGGTTCAAATATGATTATTTTATAATAATGAGGTGTTATGTACCAGTTTTTTAGATAGCGTTAAATAATCGTCGCAAAGATGTTAAAAAAATTGATGGAGAAATTATTAATAACATCACATTCGTAGATGATACCGCCATAATGATCAAGAGTCTAGAAGACCTTCAAACTCTGCTGAACGCTGTAAACAACTAATGCATAATTAACAATTAATGTGAAGAAAACAAAATTGATGGTGGTCGGAAAAACTAGTATCAAAGACTCAGTACTAAAATTAAAAAAAAACCCTGGACAGGGTGAAACACTTTAAATATTTGGGTAGATGGATTAACTGCAGGGTTGAAAGTGAAGAAAAAATTTCGACCAGAATAGAACTTGCACCAAAAAGCATTATTAACTGACGTTTTGTATTGTGCAGTAAAAGTCTGCCAATAACCAAACGTTCAGGATGTGAAACCTGGAGAACAAAAATTAAAAATTTTATTAAACTGGAAGTGCTCGAGTTGTGGTGTTACCGTCGCATGCTCATAATCTCGTGGACATCACATATATCTAACGAACGTGTGGTAGAGACCATGCACAAAGAGCGAGAATTGATCAACATTATCAAAATGAGAAATGTCGAATATTTCGGTCATGTAATGAGGGGACCTAAATATCGCTTACTCCGGTTGATCATTCAGAGCAAAATCGAAGGAAAACGCTGGGTCGGAAGAAAAGGAAGGAAAGCAATGGACAGGTCGCATGGTCGAATAGTTGATTCATCTAGCTGCCGATCAAGAAACATTTTATCAGCTTGTTGGTACGACGATAGACAATGCTTAAAAACAAGCCCGACACACAAAGAAGAACATGAAGTGTTATTAAAATAAAGTTGTTGGCGGTTATCGTTTTCCAAATTGAGGGGATTTACTTGGCCTCGATATTGTAGCCTTTCTATTGTATTTCTGCCTTCAGGGTCATACGAAACTATGATTTTGTATTATAAAACAACGAATGTAGCGATCGTCGATTGTCAGTAACAATTTTAACAGAAGAAAAACAAGGTTTTAGGTCAGAAAGATCATGCACCGACGCTATATTTATAATGAGTATGATATAAAGTGCAAGAGAAATAATTCAAATACAACAAACCGGCATATCTATGTTCAGTGGAGAAGGCATTTGACCGGGTTGAATTACGTTATCCACTTTTTGTACGCAAGAGAGATAGCTCTAGGAATAATCAAAACGATCGAAAATATTCACCAAAACAACAAAATAAAAGTAAATATAAAAACAAAATAACCGACCCTATTGAAGCTTGTTGACAATGGGATAAGACAGGGAGATTCCCTGAGTCCTCTATTGTTAAACTTTCTATATAGCTATACAGCCCTAAACATCCATTCTTGGATATAGGGATTCTCCTCCTCCTTCTTCCATGCCTCTCTATTTTGGGCAATTTGCATCCATTTTGACCCCGCGTGTTTCTTCAGGTCATCTGAGCATCGCATTTGTGGCCTTCTCCATTTTCGTTTGTGATTCCATGGTCTCTAATATATAGTATAATTGTCTCTAGTATAATTGTCTTAGTCCATCTTTCATCTTTCTGCCTTAGGGTGTGTCCGGTGAACTTCCATTTAAGCTTTGCTACTTGGGTTGAGACATTTTTCACTTTTGTTTTATTACGGATCCATTGGTTTCTTTTTCTGTCTAATAGTTTAATGTTCAGCATTTGTTTTTCCATGGATATTTCTGTCTTCGCTATTTTTTTAATATTTACCTTTGTAAACGTCCATGTCTGAGAGCCATATGTGAGGTGAGATGACAAAATGTGATTCTCACATGTGTCTCCCAAATAAAATAGGTTACCTGAACTAAAATTACCAAAAGTGAAACAATATTCCAAAGGGATCAAGTCAAATCAACATACAAACTCGAAAACATTGACATGGGATAGGATGAACTAATTACTTAAAGATGACATATTGTCCTCATCTAACACAAAAGGCTTTAAATCTTTAATGTGCTACTTACCAAGATCCGTACCATTTAAATCTGACAAACGATAAACCACTGGTGACAATTTTTCCTTGATAGTTGCTTCAATATACTTCGGTGCTAGTTTGGACATAAACTTGTTGACAGCACAAGACAAAACCTTATTTCTTTTCCAAACTTTATCACCCACTTGAAATTGGACTTCTCTTCTACGTAAGTTGTAACTCCTAGCGTTACGTTCATATCCTTTTCGAAGATAAGCCTTAACCTTTTCAAAAACTTTATCTAAATCTTTGACTTCTGAAGCATACATGTTACGGTCAACTAGAATTATCTCGATATCTTGATTCTGTTGATCCTTATGATCAACACCATAATAGTTTCCACTTAAAGGAACATGACGGCCATAATTCAGGAAAGCTGGAGTATATTCAGTCACTTCATGCTTTGCAGTGTTAATAGCTTGTCTGATCTTTGCTAAATTCTTGTCCCAATCTACGTGGTCTTTAACATACGTACGTATTGCTGTACCAATGGTTCTATTGTTCCTCTCCACAAAATTACGCTGAGGTGCATATACTGGGCTAAACCATACTTTCTGAACGTTATACCTATTACAGAGCTCAATTAAGAGAGGATTGTTCAGATTTGAGGCATTATCACAAATCACATATTAAGGAACACCAAACATTAGGAAAACATCATTTTTCAAAAACTCAACAATATTCTTAGCCGTGGCCTTTCTCAAAGGTTGGACTAAAGTATATTTACTAAACCAATCAGCAACTACTAATAACCACATATAACCTTTCTTTGAACGAACAAAGGGACCTATCAGATCTATTGGTACGATCTGCCAAGGAAACTTGGCCTCTCTCTGCTTACCCATTTTACCTAATGGAGCATAATTTGGTGTCTTCTGAGCACCACAAACTTTACATGACCTGACAAACTTAAGTACATCAACACGCATCTGGGGCCAATAATATCTTTCCTGAATATGGGACAAAGTTTTGGAAAATCCAAAGTGAGCACACGTAGGTGGCTCATGACAAGACTTCATAACTTCAG